GAGGCACTTATATTTCCAAATGTCTAGACGCGAAGAAGAAGGTTAAAACCGAACTTTGCCAGTCTCTATAATAGGCAGGCTGTCTGTCTTGAAGCTCATTCAAAGTTCCCCTCTGCTTTGTATTTGATGGTCCATCTCGCTGCTTACCCCTCATTTTCAATAGGAAGTATTCTGGGACACACACCTATCCTGATGGCAAATCTTCTCGCCTCAATAAACTTTTGTTATAGTTGCGTGTGAATGTATAAACAATGTTGAAGAGGAGAAGATGAGACCACGATTCCTTCCCATAGGGTGGAAATCTATGCTGCTTGTGTGATTGTAAGTGAACTTTCGACTGTTAAGGTTGTGGAAAATGCACTTTTACTTTTTAGTTCACTTAAAGCAGTATGATATCTTCCTTTTGAAACTCTCAATTTTCCATTCTGCCTCGTGGAAATGCCCCACTCTACCTGTTGTTAGGCTTAATAATGACGTCTGCTATCTGGAAACCATCAGTCTTGTTAAGATGATTTATCTCGAAATCTGAGAGTCAAGCAAAGTTCGTCTCGCCTATATTGGCTTACAGAAGACATTGCCATGATGCAAAGAGGAAAGAGTTTAGAGCTCCAATCAATTTCATTTCACCACATGTCACGAAACTACTTTTCACTTTAGGCCAGATAGTTGCTTCCAACCAGTGGAAATCGAACTCAGGTACTATGAGTCCAGAGTCAGACGAGATGTTTAATTACTCACTTGGCCAAGACATTAACGATCCACAGCGATAGTCTGATCCTGGAGATAAAGTGAGCCTTCCTTTAGATTCAGACACATAATAAAGATTTTCATCAATAAAAGAAGTTGATGGAGGATACTGCTGGTTGTCATAGTTTAGACTTTTGCTATTTTATTCATTTCTTGCCGAAGCCCGCTGAACTCTCCTCAGTCATGCTACTTGTCAGACATTATAAAAGTGTATTCAGCCTATTTTACTTAAAGTGAGGAGGGAATGGTAGTTGAACTTTTGGGTCCCTCATCACCGTCAAGGAAATGAGGCGAATACAGCTTTAATAGTAACCAAAAAACCTATTAATGTAACGAACGAAGTAAAATAGTCGATTACTATAGCAAATATAACTTTGCTTCTTCGATAATCCACTACATGAATATGATATGAGAGAGGACTAGGCTTCCTTATAATTCACTTTTGCCTTGTGACCTAAAAACACTCGTGGCAGTGTGGCAAAAAGGTCAACGTGTTGAGATAATGCGCCACGTTACTACAACTCAGGTTAGAGTCCCACTTGGGGTGCGGATGACAAGACCTAGGCGATGTTGAAACTAGAGGATAAAATTCCTTTTGGGAAGTAAGGCTGCATAAAATTTAATGGAAACATGAGATTATGGGAAAATTCAACTACCAGTCCTTGATCACTTTAATCCAAATAGGGTAAATACAGCTCTTATATATGATCTACTCGTAACCTCGAAAACTTACTCATGAGACGAATCATAAAAGTATATCTTTATTCTTATATGAACGTCAAGCCAAAGCCAAGCCATCGACACTACTCTATTTGTCAAACGCTCTCCAACAAAAATGTATTTTATAGGGTATCTAATTATTCTATTAGTTTATTTGCAAGTCCAACTATGTACATGTGTGTGCGTGTATGCATGTGGATGTTGGCTTTTGTGTGCTGATGATCGTTATATGTTATTAGACCAAAGCGTAGCTCAACTAATTAGGCCTTGAAGCAAAGCTTAAACGAATTTTCAAAAGAATATTAAATAAAAAAGTCTGATGTGAAGCATGAAGTGTGTGATCAAAGAAGTGGTACTATCTTTGAATTAGCCCAATCAAAATTACACAACCCTAAAAATGAACAATCCTGAGTAACTATGTGTTCTCACTACTCTGACGAGTTGCAGTTGGTTCTGGGAGTAGCAAGGCTTTCCGATGAGGCAGACTACGATGCTGACAGAATTTCTGGGACTCTAGTAAGTCGGCAGCCTGAGGCTGGAACTTAACATGACTACACTGGTAGAGGTTTCCAGGCAAGATATCTCGAACAACACAAAGAAGTTGTGAAAACGGTTTGTTGCTAAGGCTTGCCTTCCTCAAACACTATTCTGGCGCAACGTCTAAGAATGTGCTATGTTAGCACTCCGACAACAATAGTAAAATGCACAGGAAAAGCTATGTTCTTAAACGTCTCCCCTTAAGAATGACTGATTTTCCAAGATACTGGCAAATCTCTTCTACGAAAATCCAATAAACACGATACAAGCGCGCTTCAGTAATGCAGAAACTGATATGCGAATCTCGTAAATCTGGTAGGACACAGCCAGTATATTATTCTGCAGACATTAGCTTATATTAATTCCATGAAGCTTTTACCCTAGCTCCATAAATTCTCATGCCCAATGAAATGGACCAGCAGTGTGCCGTGAATCTGCCATAAATACTTCAATATGAATTAAGTTATTTCTATACAAATTCACTTTATTTAAATAAAATCCACTTAACGCGATGCAAGAGTTGCAACATATCTTGCTTTAGAGGATTCTGTCATTCTGCATAGCTAGGTACTGATCTATATTTTGCCAAGGTAGGAGTAAATTCTCAGTAAAACAGACCAAAAAAATTAATTGGTGAAACACGTTTGCCCTGACGGCGGTGAGGAACATAGCTCGATTACCACTAAAAACCCATGAATAAAATCGCCTTATAAAGTGAAGGTTTTGTGACGAGCCATAAATAAGTTGCGAACACAAAACTTCCCAATGTTTATGTTACCGGGAGTCAAAATAACCAGAATATATGGTTAAACAGGGCACCGAATGGAGTGGTTTAAAACTCAAGGCAATATGTTGTTATATTCACTAAACAAGTGATTCCCAAACTGTGCGCCGCGCCGCGAAATATTGTAAAAGCTTCAATTTGAGAAAATGTGTAATGATTTGCAGGCTCATCCATCACATTAATTATTAAATATTAATTTAGTGTTAATAGAAAGTAAAAATATAATGAAAATACACGAGTTGTATCTATTTTTATCTCTTACTTACGAATAGTCATACTTAGGGTAGGGCGCCATGGAAAATTTTTAATTGAAAAATGGCGCCGCGACTGGGAAATGTTTGGCAACCACTGGACTAAACTTTTTCAAAAAATCAGTTTGTAATGTAGATATGAAGAAAGGGAAGAAACGGATATACGGGCCCATGAGTGAGATCAGGGTGGGAGGCAAGAGTAGTATCAGCAAATCAAGAGGAAGTGGTGTAGGGTGTGATGACGCCCCAGTAAACTGGCCAAAAAGGGTATATCTCTTGAGGAGTAGAGTATAAACAAGTCAGAAGTTTTGATAGGGCGGCGGTAAGATAATAGGTTAAGGAGTGGGTAGATGTGCCAGGACAGAAATAGGAGCGATAGCATAACCGTTGGACAGAAGACTAGTCAAGGGATTGACTTCATTTTTCCGCTTGACGAGTTGTAATTTGGTGCTGAGACTAGCAAGACTCACAGACGATGCCAACGCAACGTCTGAGAATGTACCAAGTCCACGGTTTAATGATGGAAATTATGATGACTACAATAGCAGAAAACTTCGGACGAAAAACGTCCAACCAAGTCACCCATAAACCTCGACAAAGTTGAGAAAACGAAGATAGACCACTTCTGTTAGTTAGCAATGTCTATGTAGATGATAGCTGTTGTGCTTGGAATCTTATTCAATACGAATATCAGTTACGATGACGTAATCAACAGCGATGAGTTTGGCTGTGTTTTCCTATCAACCCTTTCAAGATGACAGCTTGAGATTGGGGCTTGAGGGCTATAGGGAGATTT